TAGGGTTGAGGGCACCAAGCCCCGAAACCCTGCGGCTCAAAAAAAGATTTAAGCCCATTCTCAGATTCTGGGGGAGTACTACGGATGGGCCGGAGCCCAAACCCCGAATCCTAGTTGGAACCCTGCGAAAAGCCCGAACCCCAACACGGCCCTAGCCCCAAACCCGGGTTTTGGGTTACGGATTAAGGTTAAAACCCTAAACCCTAAACCCTAAACCCTAAACCCTAAACTCTAAACCCTAAACCCTAAACCCTAAACCCTAAACCCTAAACCCTAAACCCTAAACAAACACCAGCCCTAAATGTGGGCGAGGCGCTATCTTCAGCTCGCGTGACACCTCCACAGACATTGGAGGGAAGGGGGACTTCTGCCGAAGCTACTTCTGGAAAATAACCCTAACCCCTAAACCCTAAACCCTAAACACCCTATAAACCCTATAAACCCTATAAACCCTAAACCCGAAACCCTAAACCCTAAACACCGCAGGCTCCCTGAGAATCTTCCATGGGCACCACTTCTGCGCACACAGACAAAGAAACGGATTGGGGGGCAGGCCCAAGTATGGAGTTCGCATTCCTTTTTGTTTGGGGGGGGGGAGGGGGGGTGGGGGGAGGGGGGGGGGGGTTTGGGGTTTGGGGTTTGGGGTTGGGGTTTGGGGTTGGGTCTTGGGGTTTGGGTTTAGGTTTAGGGTTTAGGGTTTAGGCGGGGGGGGGGGGGGTCCGAATTGAGGGGTATTGAAGGCCTAAACCCTCCAGGGCGGTTCAGGGTTGGAGGTTGGGGCCTTAAGCCCTAAACCCTAAACTCTTCAACCTAAACAAATAGTGACAATGCTCCAGGAGCCGATAAACACCCAGCAAGCATGAGGACATATATCAAGCGGTTTTAGGGTTTAGGGTTTAGGGTCCAGGGTTGGTTTTGGGCCCATTCAACGAAAGACATCGCAGCCTGGCAGAGGGAGACACCGCCCTTGTGGCCAGCCACCATCACCTGAGGCCGCTAGGGGCCGGGAAACCCTAAACCCTAAACCCTGAAACCCTAAACCCTAAACCCTGAACCCTAAACCCGAAACCCTGAACCCTAAACCCTAAACCCTAAACCCTGAACCCTAAACACTGAACCCTAAGTCGCTGGAGCCCCTTAAGCTCCTCAAGCCCTATTGAGGGTTGGGGTTTTTAGGGTTTAGGGTTTAGGGTTTAGGGTTTAGGGTGTAGGGTTTAGGGTTTAGGGTTTAGCGTTTAGCGTTTAGGGTTTAGGGTTTAGGGTCTGGGAAACCCTATATAAACCTTGAACTCCAAACTACAACCTTTGACCCACCAAACCCAAAAGCCCCGAAAACCCTCCAAACCCAGAGGCAGGAGGTTAGGGTTTCGGGTTTAGGTTTGTTTTAGGGTTTAGGGCTTCGGGTTTAGGGTAATTTAGGGCTGCTTGACCTCCCCAAGGCCCCTAACCCTGAACCATCCTACACCCTTAAACGCCCACCCCAAAGCTCGTCCCAAACCCTAAACCATAAACCCCCAACCCTAAACTCTAAACTACCCTAAACTACCCTAAACCCCGGGGCGGCGCGGCATGCAGCGAGGCGAGCTCGAAATTGTGCTCATCTATTTGCCACAGGAGGTGCGCCTGAGGATAAGTCGGAGCAGGCACGAGCTGGAAGCTGGCACAAGGTTCATAATTGTCCCTTCCAATAAAGAGAGCAGTGTCAAAGGACATTTCTTGTGTGTCGATGACATCTTGCACGCCCATCCATTCTTCCACTAGGGACAGTGCCTCCTGAACCTGCGCAAGGGTGGCAGGAAGGCTGCCCTTGACGAAAAGGGCGAGTTCACCCCGGAGCCGATTAGAGACAATGGCTTGCCTGCGGGGGGTGAGCCAGAACCCCAACCTTATAGCTCTGGCCTCAAGGGCATCGGTCATGTCCCTACGCAGGCGGGGAATCTAAACCCTAAACCCTGAACCCTAAACCCTAAACCCTAATCCCTAAACCCTTGCTTGCAGCCATGAGGCCAGGCATCGGGGGTCCGAGGAGAGCGCCAAGTAGGGCCTCGAGGCTTCTTGGATTTCAGGGTTTCGGGTTTAGGGTTTCAGGGTTTCAGGGTTTTAGGGTTTTAGGATTTAGGGGTGGGTTTTAGGGTTTAGGGTTTAGGGTTTAGGTGAGGTGAGGTCTGACAAAAGGGCGGCGCCTCTGGCACAGGGCTTCAGGAGCCAGCCCCATCATGGGTTTCACGTAGCCAGGCTGTATGCAAAGCGAAAACTTCGGGTAAACTCACCACGCAATGATTTGCCAACATCCTGTTTTAGGGCTTAGGATCCTGTTATAGGGCTTAGTGTTCAGGAAAAGAGTTATCTTAAACCAAAGAACGACCCCCCCTCACGAGAACTAGGCATCCCTTTTTGTTGGAGGTCATTTGCAGGAAGGTTCGACTGAATGTGGCAAACCCGTAAAGCCCTCAGCTCTCAACCCTAAACCCTGAACTGAAAACCCTAAACCCTAAACCCTTATCGTTTTAGGCGTGAGCGCCGCGGGCGACTCCTGATAAAACGCTCGATTCGGGTTTGGGTCCTTGTTTCGCGTGTGACCAAAGCTCCAGTATTTGCACACTTTTACACCGCTCGGTGTACGCTTTTCAGGAGGTGTTCCAGAAGATGGCTTCTGATGAGGTGTTGACCCAGGTTTTATCCACGTTTTAACCACATCTTACGAAGGCCGGGCAGCCAGCACGCAACTTGAGGGTTTAGGGTTTAGGGTTTAGGGTTTAGGGTTTAGGGTTTAGGGTTTAGGGTTTAGGGTTTAGGGTTTAGGGTTTAGGGTTTAGGGTTTAGGGTTTAGGTTTAGTGATTAGGGTTTAGGGTTTAGGGTTTAGGGTTTAGGGTTTAGGGTTTAGGGTTTAGGGTTTAGGGTTTAGGGTTTAGGGTTTAGGGTTTAGGGTTTAGGGTTTAGGGTTTAGGGTTTAGGGTTTAGGGTTTAGGGTTTAGGGCTCAGGGTTTAGGGTTTAGGGTGTTGAGGATTTTGGAGTTGCCGGCCCCCGTAAGATGTGGATAAAGCCTAGGAAACAAACCTCACCAACAGGAAAGATAACAGGAGTCGTCTGAGGCGCACCTGCCTTGTTCTAAGAAACCCAAACCCTAAACGCCCTAAACCCTAAACCCTAAACCCTAAACCCCAAACCCCAAACCCCAAACCTAAACCCTAAACCCTAAACCCTAAACCCTAAACCCTAAACCCTAAACCCTAAACCCTAAACCCTAAACCCTAAACCCTAAACCCTTATCTTGTGCTACGAACACTTCGATGGAGCCGTGCCTGGCAGAGTAGACGTGGTTTGGCAAGGTCACCTCAGAATCAGGTGGAGGGGTTTAGGGTTTAGGGTTTAGGGTTCAGGGTTCAGGGTTTAGGGTTTAGGGTTTAGGGTTTAGTGTTTTAGACTTTGAGATGTAGAGATGAGGGTGTAATTCGATTCAGGGTTCATAGAGTGTATTTGGGTTCTAGAGCTAGGGTTTTAGGGTTTTAGGGCTTTGCGGTTTAGGGGTTTAGGGGTTCGGGGCACTTGTGTATCTGTTGAAGAGCCTCCCGGCTTCTCGTGGCTGTACGTTAATGAGCACTAGGTGCTGTGGGATTAGCTCACCCTCAACCCTAAACCCTAAACCCTAAACCCTGAACCCTGAACCCTGAACCCTGAACCCTGAACCCTGGACCCCACCAAACGTCCATGGCCAATCCTGATAACGGGAACCACAAAACCCCAAAATCTTGGGAAACCTCCTGCGCAGCAAGCCCGAAACACAAAACCCTAAGCCCCAAACCCTAAACCCTAAACCCTAATTAGACCTTAAACCCTAAGCTCGAATCTCTTGGCTTCGGCCTCAAGCGGCCAAAGCGGCCTACAGTCCTGACTGATGAGGGCTTGTCGCTATGGAGCAGAGATTCCTATGAATTGGCTTGGGGTTTAGGGTTGTAGAGTGTAGGGTTAATGGGGTTTACGGTCTAGGGTTCAAGGTTTCCATGCCCTAGGATTTAAGGACTGGGGTGAATGGCTCAAGGGTATGAGACTTACAATGGACATGGAGACAGAATGCCAGAAAACTCAGTGGCAGGCTCGTGCGTGGAGCTTCCTGAGACGCGCATTTTTTCTAGACCCCCCAAACTCTAAACCCCAACAGACCACCAACGTAAAACAACTTTCACATGTAACTTCCCAAAACGTGATGATTCACGCTTTCATGCGTGGGAGCGCCGTACCTAGACGTACTTTTGCCTGTCTTATGTAGCCCTTACTTAGGTGGCATAAATGGGGGTTTGCAGGCTTGAGGGCTTACCCTAGACCCTAAACCCTAAAACCTAAACCCTATTTTTTGCAGATGGCTAGCAGTAGGGGGGCTTAATTCTTTAGTGGCTGTAGGAAAGTTTTAGCTTGAGTCAGAGTACCAGACCCAACAGTAGCCTAGGAAGAAAAGGGTGCCCTTTTGTTAAAAGAAAAAAAACCTACGCCCTAAACCCTAAACCCTAAACCCTATTGATATTGTTCTAAACGGGCCGAAGGGAACCTAATTTTTAGACAGGGAATGAGGGCCTACTCGCAGCCGGGGGTTGTTGGGTTGTTGGGTTGTTGGCTTCAGGGTTCAGGGTTCAGGGTTCAGGGCTAAGGGTTTAGGGTTAAGGGTTAAGGGTTAAGGGTTTCGGGTTTAGGGTTCAGGGTTCAGGGTTGAGGGGTCCGGACTTCGGCATAATAGAACCCCTAAGCCCCCCTGTGCTTCTGTACGCCTTGCCAGGGTGGCCTGCCCTGGGTGCCCACGTAAGCAGAAGTCAGAGTTTCAGGGCCCTCGTCGTTTAGGGTTTAGGGTTTAGGGTTTAGGGTTTAGGGTTTAGGGTTTAGGGTTTAGGGTTTAGGGTTTAGGGTTTAGGGTTTAGGGTCCAGGGTTTAGGGTTTAGGGTTGAGGGTTGAGGGTTTAGGGTTTCGGTTTAGCATTCGGGTTTAGGGTGTGGGTTTTAGTTTAGGGTTTAGGGTTTAGGGTTCCAACAGTCCCAAACCGCCAGCCCTCAACCCTGAAACGTCCTCAGCACTTCCCCCAGGATGGCCCTGAACACCCTCTGAAAAAAATGTTCCTGAATATGATCCTCCTACATACACCCTAAACCCTTAACCCTAAACCCTAAACCCTAAACCCTAAACCCTAAACCCTAAACCCGGAATATGATCCTCTTTCCAGAACCCAAGAAGGGAAGATATGACACGTCCCAAGTGCCTACCGACCCCGCAAGACCCTACAGCCGCACTACAGCCCTATAGTAGAAGACAAAAAGTTGGAAACTCAATAGCCTCAATCGCTAGGAGTAAAGTATAGGGAATCCCAGCACTATTTGAAAAAATTGTCCTTAAGAAGTTTTCCAAGTTTTTGTTTTTTTCTTAAACTGGAATCGCCCAAAGGCGGGACGGGTAACGTCCTCCAGCGGTGAAACTATGCCCAGCACTCACACTGGTAGCCAAAGACGACGACCACCCGCCATAGGGTTTAGTGTTTAGGGTTTAGAGTTTAGGGATAACAAACCACTGAACTCTTGATTGGTGCCACGGTGCAATCGCGGGGCTCCCAAGCCCGGCACAGGGACCAAATCCTCTGGCACCTGCCGAAAGAGGCTGGCAATGGGTTTAGGAATTAGGGTTCAGGGTTCAGGGTTTAGGCTTGGAGGTTCATGGTGCTTAATGTTGCACTGTCTTTAGTATGGGCCCCCCCCCCCCCCCCCCAAACAAATTTGGACCCTCTATAAACGCGTGGCCCGGCGACCCCCCCAAACAAATTGGGGGGGGGGGGGGACCGCCCTCAGGGCCTCAAGCCTTTAGGACCTCAAGGCCTGAAGCTTTCCAGCCTTTAAGATTCCTGGAGCCCAAGGCCCTCGGGGCCTCAAGCCTTACTGCGTAAGCCCTTAACCCAAAACACAAACCCTCAAAAAAATCATCCGAAAACAACTTGGTATTATAGAGGGTAGCCAGACAAACTTACTAAAAACAGTCTGACCGGCCCGTGGGCTACCTATCACAAAATTTGTTTGGGGCCTCGTTTCGTAATGAATTTCCATTAGGCTTTACATGGGATTGGCCGGGCTTAGATTTCTGGATTCTCCGCGCTCTGGCTCTTTAAGGTTCCTGGAGCCCAAGCCCTCAGGGCTTCAAGCCTTACTGCGAAAGCTCTTAACCCAAAACACAAACCCTTAAAAAAAAAAAAAAAACGTCCGGAAAAAACTTGTGATAATAGCGGGTACCCTGAACAAACTCGGTTCGCAGAATAAATTTTCGAAACTTGTGATTATAGACCCTCCTTATACTAAAAGCAGTCCAACATTATTAACCGTTAGAACTGCAAACTATAGGTTTAGGGTTTAGGTTTTAGGGCTTTGCGTTCAGGGTTCCGGTTTAGGGCTTGAGTTTAGGGTCGGGGGGGGGGGGGGGGGTTGACATTCTCCAGCGTCATGGATTGCGGTAGAAATTTTGGGTAGCATCAACAGGGTTTCTAGGGCTTAGGTTGAATGCTCCCCCTTCTACTAACAGTCCTTAATGGGCATTCTAATGGGGTACTAAAGTCCCTATTAAGGACCGTTAGTATAAGGGGGGACATCCCAAGGTTTAGGGTTAAAGGTCCACAGATACCTTTACTCGGCCTCTCTAGACCTTCAAAGAGAAGCTTACCTATCATCGGGCCTTCCTTCCAAAACGCTACTAGGTTCATGTTGCTTATTAACCAATTCTATCTGCACTTCTAACCCACTTATGAGTCCCTTAAGTGCCCTAACATGGTTATAAGTACAGTTCTAAGTACAGTTACAACGGGTTAATAAGTGCCCTGAACCTCCCAAGTTAGAACTACGAGGTCCAGGGTTTAGGGTTTGAGGTTTAGGGTTTGAGGTTTGAGGTTTGGGGTTTATAGGATTTGGGACGATGACAAAGGGCTCAAACTTTCAAGGGCTTCAGGGTTTTGAAAAATCTGACATGGCTGTGGCAGGTGCAGGACTTCAGGCTTTGGGGCGGGTTTCGCGTTTTTTGTTCGGGTCCACAGGAGCTAGGTGTTTACTGTCTCGGCTTGCGTTCAGTTGCACCCCAACAACTAAACTAATCACAGGGAAGGTGGCACCATTTATGGCTTGAACGAAACCCTAACCCTAAACCCGAAACCCTAAACCCTGCACCGTAAACCCAAAAATGCTTATCAGGGAACCCGACCCCCCCCAAAAAAAAAAAAGGAATCAGGGCCAAGTCTTGGTCTGAAGGAGCTGGTTCCAGAATTCACATGCCACTGCCGCTCGGTTTAGGGATTCGGGGTATAGGGTGTAGGGTTTATGAAGGTTTAAGGTAAAACAAAAATCGGGGTTTAAGATTCAAGGTTCAGGGTTTGGGATTTTTGGGGTTCCCAGGCTGCGGGTAAGTACCCGCAGCCAAGTAGCTCGTGCCTTTCTAGCCCAAACCGCCAATCCAAGAGCCCCTAAACCCTCAACCAGTGATTAGCTGGTGCCTTCAGCCCAAACCGCCAATCCAAACGCCCTGAACCCTACACCCTAAACCCTGTAAGCCCTGTAAACCCTAAACCCTAAACCCTAAAGCCGAAAGCCTAAAGCCTAAAGCCTAAAGCCTAAACCCTGAACCCTACTGTTTCGGCTCTGGATTCAGGGTGTTGGGGTGTAGGGACTCCGCGAGAGCCTCGTGGATCAGCATTCGGCCGTCCCCGCCGCAACCTGGCGTCTTGCGATTTAAGGCTTAGGGTTTTGGAATTAGGGTTTGGGGTTTAGGGACTCTAGACCGCTCAAATCGTTTAGGGACCCTAGAAACTCTAAACCGCTCAAGTCGTTTAGGGATCCATTTTCCCCCACAGGGACTGAAATACTTGCCTTAAATCCTCATCCCTGAGACCGAAATCCGAAACCCTATACATCCTTGGGTATCGCAAACCGAGCCTGGGGCTGTATGGTTACATGGTGTATGGGTGGAGGGTGTAGGGTTTAGGAAGAATCTAGGCATTCAGGATTTAGGGGTGTAGGTTTAGGGGTGTGGAGGTTGAGGAATCTTTTTTGGGCACGTTTGGGAGTTTTATCTTATTCAAGGATATGAGCCCTCATCCCCTAAACGCAGGAGTCACCTAGGAATACAAAAAGGGTGCCCCTAAACCCTAAACCCTAAACCCTAAACCCTAAACCCTAAACCCTAAACCCTAAACCCTAAACCCTAAACCCTAAAGTGTCCGACAAGGAAGCCGAAGCCCTGAAAAAGGGAAAGAAAAGAGAACCGAAACCCTAAAACAAGGGAATCTGGGCTTGCTCAGGGTTTAGGGTTTAGGGTTTAGGGTTTAGGGTTTAGGGTTTAGGGTTTAGGGTTTAGGGTTTAGGGTTTAGGGTTTAGGGTTTAGGGTTTAGGGTTTAGTGTTTAGGTTTTAGGGTTTAGGGTTTAGGGTTTAGGGTTTAGGGTTTAGGGTTTAGGGTTTAGGGTTTAGGGTTTAGGGTTTAGGGTTTAGGGGTTAGGGGTTTAGGTTTTAGGGTTTAGGCGCTTAGGATCTTGGGGCCCCTGATGCCAGAACAGGTGCCTCCTCTGACTAGACATCGCTTTTAAGGGATTGATCGTGCTCAAGGTCGGCTGAATGGTTTAGGGTTTAGGGTTTAGGGTTGAGGGTTTAGGGTTTAGGGTGCTCCTTCGTCTGTCCTTCCTTAAAACTGGAGTCCCGTCCACCAGCGCGAGCTCCAGAGTTTCTTACGATAGCTGGTGATGACTCGACGGTACAATCACGAGACCCGCGAAAAGACTAGGAATGAAAGGGTAGGGGCTTAGATGGCAACCGAAGCCCTCAAAAAGGGAACAAGGGCCTACTCTGGGTCCTAAGGGATGCGATCAAGGTCCTCGAAGCTCAGCTAGAGGCTCGGCAAGCTTTGCACGATCACCTATGATCCCACTCATGAGATCCTTTGCGCCAGCTTCGCCCACTCATGAGCGGGGACGCAGAGAAAAATCACCCTGAGCCAAGCTTCCTTAGGAAGCTTACACGACAAGGCTGCTAGACATGCCTCCACAATTTTTTCGCGCAGCATGTGTTTCAGTGCTCCGAACGTTTCAACGTGGGTTAGGGTTTAGGGTTTAGGGTTTAGGGTTTAGGGTTTAGGGTTTAGGGTTTAGGGTTTAGGGTTTAGGGTTTAGGGTTTAATTAGGGTTTAGGGTTTAGGGTTTAGGGTTTAGGGTTTAGGGTTTAGGGTTTAGGGTTTAGGGTTGGTTTAGGGTTTAGGGTTTGGGCTTTTGGAAGGTTTGGACCCCAAACTGTCAACCCTAAACCCTACACTCTCAACCCTCAACCCTGGACCCTGCACTCCCCTCAACCATCAACCCTGCACTCTCAACCCTCAACCCTCCATCCTCAACCCTCAACCCTCAACCCTCAACCCTCAACCCTCAACCCTCAACCCTCCATCCTCAACCCTCAACCCTCAACCCTCGACCCTCGACCCTCGACCCTCGACCCTGGACCCTACACCTAGACTGTAGTAGCGCAGCAACATGCCGGAGGCACTGATGAGCAAGGGGGGAGCCGCAATGCCTTCTTGTCCTCGGCAGGGCGTTGGCTTTCGGGTGTAAAGGGTTTGGGGTTCCAGGGTGTAGGGTTTATAGGATTTAAAGGGTTTAGGGTTTCGGGTTTGGAGTTTAGGGTTTAGGGCGAGTACTAGGCTACTGCTGCGAAACTTACCCAAGCCGCTCCCCAAACCCTGCAGGAAGAGGTGCGTTTATTAAAACCCTCACCCACTCGAGCCTTGCAGACCGACCTCTACGCCAGTTCGATATTCCATGCGTGGCATAGAGGAGACCCTTCTCCAGCTCCAGCTGCTTGATCTGCTCCGGCAATTGCTGAAGCTCTTAGCCTCTTAGCTGTCAGTCGAGGCCTCTCTTTTGTAGCTCATGTGGGTTCCGCGGCAGCTTGGCATTCGGAAGTCCTGTCTTGGGCGCCCCCCGTGGGCACGGGGGGGTGCCCACGACGGCGGTGGTCCTGCGCGCCCTACATGTGCACGGGAACTGCGGACGACGGGATTTCCGAAAGACAGCACCCAATTTCAAGGCGTTCTGTCCTCGGCACCCCTGTGGGCACCGGGGGTGCCCACAACGGCGGTGGGAGCTACCTGTCCTGGGCACCCTACGTGCGCACGAGGGTTGCGGACGATGGGATTTACTAAACACCCTCCAACTCCGCCAAATTGCGAGATGATGTCCAGGGCGATGACGGTGTGGGGGCGGTGGCATGGGAAAAGAGAGAGTGAAGACAGTAACAAAGAAAAGGGTAGAGAGAGAGCGCAGCAAACACAACAACCGGGAAGCATAACATAAAGTGGAAGATAGCAGACAAAAAGCGGAACAACCTTAGCCCACCTCCCAAAAAAGGCCAGAAGGCCTTACTCAACAGGCCTGCTAGGGTGCCCAACCCAGGGCTTGCGCAAGCTTCGGGCTTGTGAGCCGCGTGGCGCTTCTCGAAGACATGCCAGCAGAGGTCGTAGACCAAGGACTCGTGGACTTCGGCGCAGGTGGCCTGCCAAGGGCAGAACACAGGAGCCCTAAACCCTAACCCTAAACCCTAAACCCTGAACCCTGAGCCCTCAACCCTGAGCCCTAAGCCCTAAGCCCTAAGCCCTAAGCCCTAAGCCCTAAGCCCTAAGCCCTAAGCCCCCAAGGCCAGCCACTAAATCTCAACAAGATCCCTTGATTCCTCAATACCCCTGAACCCCTCCACTTTCACGGGGATTTTTGCCTTTGCGGTTTTGGGGGTCTAGGGTGTTCAGCAGGTTTAGTGGTTTGGGGGGTTTAGGGGATTCAGTGGCTTTGTGGGTTTAGTACGTATAATTTACTGAGTTTAGTGGGTTTTGTGGGTTTAGGCTTCAGTATAGGGGTTAGGCTTCATACTGCTCCCCACCCATTACGGGGTTGAGTTCTGAAGAAGGGAACAGGGCCCTAAACCCTAAACCCTAAACCCTAAACCCTAAACCCTAAACCCTAAACCCTAAACCGTGGCTCCCGGGGTACCTCCCCCCGTAGAAAGTACCCCTTCAAGGATTCTATAGGGCCCGGATTCCCTAATTCCGTTGAAGCACTTCGGATGTAAGGCCCAAGGCTATTTCCAAAGGGGTACCTCCCAACATGTCCGTGCTGCTTTCCTATGCTGAACCTGGAACCTTAGCAAAAAACATAGTTTTAGCTGTTGCTTAGGAATTACAGTACCCAAAAATTAAGAACTACTACCAAGATTTTAGCCTAAGAGACTCTTGCGGATACCCATGCGGGAAGTGAAGGGCCAAACTTATACGTAGGGTTCTTCAGGGAGGGGGGTTCAAGGGGGGTAAGGTTCCCCTACTACTCCCCACTACTCCCTAAGGCTCCCTAACCTTCCCTAAGGTTCCCTATATAGGTACCTACCCCCCTTGGTTCCCTATATAGGTACCTACCCCCCTTGAACCCCTCTGTTTCAAAAGAACCCTAAAACAAATTTGCGGAATAGAAAGCTCTTCTTGGAATTGCGGCTGAAATGTCTTCCACCGACAGAGTTTAGCGTTTCTGGAGATTAAAGGGTTTAGGGGGTGTATAAGCTTTATCGTGTTTAGCCCACATCCAGAACAAACTGAAGCACCCCAAGCCCGGAAACCTAAAGCAAGCACCGCCATATTCTTTACCTTAAACCCTCCTCCAAGCCTAAATGCCCACCATGATCCAAAAAACCTAATACCCGAAGCCCAGACTCCAGACACCAAAACACCTACTAATAGCCCCACATCAAAAAACAACAAAA